AATAAGACAGGATAAGGAGAAGGAAGTGGAGGAGGAGTAGCCGTGGTGGTACGTGTGGCGAATAGCCTGGGATCGGGGCCAGGTAGGGGCCTGGGGTAGAGGGCTATCGCGGCCCTCATAGCGGTGAATGCGATGAGCGCTTGGCGGCGGCCGACACGCCGCCGCGGCCGCGCTCGCCCGCGCGCGCCCGCGCGCGCAGCGATCAGCTTGTTTGACGCGACCTACGCGGCCGCGGCGGCGCTGACAGCTGGGCACTTCCCAGCGGGCACCCAAGCGCAAGTCGGCGACTTGGGCGGGCGCGGCATCGTGGCGACGCCGACAACTGTAGAAAGAGACGGCGACGATGGTTGCGATGGCGACGGCAAGGCCAAGGACGGCACCTACGCTGATCGCGCCCACGCGCAACGATGACGATGTCCTCGCGTCGGCGATGAAGGCTCTGGGCAGAATTCGACGCGCGCGGCGGCCGACGCGGCGAGTGGCCCGCGCGGCGTCGTTCGATTCGGATCGCGCCCCCCCCCCCCCCCCCCCCAGGCACGCGAGCGACGGCGCTCGATCGAGTTCGACGCGCGGCGGGAGAGGCCCGCTCAACAGAAATATGCAACTGTTGGAAAACTCATAGTTCCCCGAAGACTCCGCGAGACCGCGAGCGCAAGCTTTTGGGGGAATTGCCGCTGCAGAACCATTGCTTTTTATGCGCGTCGGGGGGCTCAACTTTATATCCCGCGAAATTTCATATGTTTGACGGATTTCAGCGCGCGCGCGACGACGCGCGGGAGCGTCGCCTCGTTTTGCGCGAGGGGTTCTCGAGACAGCACGCGCGCGGGGGCGCTCGAACGATTTCAACGCGCGCGCGAGGGGCCCTTCTGGCAGCGCATTAAGAAACATGAAAACCAACGGTTGTCTAGAGAACCCGTTGCCTCGTTGCGAAACCACATGTTCTCGGGGCCCTCGATTTTGAAACCCCTGCGAAACCATCGGTTTTTGGAGAACTCCGGCGCGCGCGCGCCGCGGCGGGCGCGCGGGCGCTTCGCTCCGAATCCAGTTGCAAGCGATAATTGAAACTTATGACTTGCGATTAACGAGAGCGCGCATAATGTCCGTCGCAAAGGGCGAAGGGGTGGGCGCGCGCGGGGCGGGGGGGGGGGGCGACGCCAGCCTGCCAGGGGCGGCGCGACTTCGAATTTAGGATGGGCGGCGAAGCAGACGCGCGCGCAAACTGCCGCGCGAAAAAATGGCCCGCTAACCCCAGCAGGGGGGGTTCTGGGGAGATCCTCATGCTCTTTTAGAAGGACAATCTACGCGGCGCAATTAATTGCTGCTCGCCGTAAGTTGACAACCCCACTGCCCGCAACTGCCCCGCCCACCCGCCCGCAACTTGGTCTGCAAAACCCATGCGGCGGCGATTGCGACGACTGCTTGGCGTTGGCCGGTGCGCCTCTGCGGCCGTGCTAGCCCGCGCGTGCTCGCGCGCGCAGCGGCCGGGTAGTCCGGCGCGACCAACGCGGCGCCGCGGCGGCGCTGGCCGCCGGGCGCCCCCCCTTGGGCACGTCAATGCGAGTCGGTGACTTGGACTGGCGCGGCACCAGGGCAACGTCGACAAGGGGAGACGCGATGATGGCAGCTGCGACGTTGACGACGATGATGACATCGACGACGGCAAGGGGCAAGGCCAACGACGGCGCCTATATTAATCACGCCGACGACGATGATGGCGTCCTCGCGTCGGCGGTGAAGGCGTTGGAAGGAGTTCGGCGCGCGCGCGGCCGACGCGCGAGCGGCCCGCGCGGCGCCATTCGACGCGGACCCCCTCCCCCCCCCCAGCGCGCGCGCAAGGGCGTTCGAATGATGTCGACATGCAGCGCGAGAGGCCCGTTTGACTGCTTTGTGGACACTGATGTTGCGTAGCAGAGTGCTTCTATGTGTTCTCGGGGCTCTCGATGTCGAAAGCCATTCGGAACCTCAGGATTCACGCGCGACGCGACGCGCGCGCGTGCACCTCCAACTCTCGCGCAAGAAATTCCCGTGACAGGACTGGGACTGGGTCAGGGAGCGGCGCGCGCAATGGCGCGCCCTGTGCGGGTTGCCGCAAAACTCCCTGAGAGCCGCCACCCGCCTTCTCTCATGCCCCTTCTCACATTCTCACACGCGATTATTTTCTCACAGTCTGGCTCCATCGCAATCTCGCGCCGACCTGCCACGGAATCCTCTTATTATCAGAATTCCCACAACTAAATCGACGCACCCGCCACTGAATTCCCACAACTCTCACATGTTCCTTGACGAGCCAGCCACGACATTCTCATATCCTCACAGCCATCGAAATACAACATTAGTCAGTCCAGCGCCTGAAAGGTATCCCGATGGATCGGTATCCGGACGGAACACAACGAAGCGCAACTTGGCCCCACCTCTGGTCACTGCAGGAACGTAGCGAATGAGATAAGCGGGCTTTTATCACACCTTGCGCTTCCAACCACGTGGGCAAGCCGGCTCTGGAGTATTCCTCTTCTGCGCGCCGAATAGTCCTCACAATCCGTTCCACATGCGATTATTCATACGGCGACGATTTTGCGCAGTATCTTACGCATTGCTGCGTTGATCTGTTGCTCTCGCGCCGCAGTGGGCGTCCAGGAACCGCCCCCATACAGCACAACGGAAGATACGACAGCGTCAAACAATTTGAATCTGGATTGTACGAGATAGTGTCGCGACCGCACGCTGCGACTGCAGGGTTGAATCGGGATTTGTGCGATTGCACGCGCGCAAATATGGTCCCACGATTCCGACACGCGCGCGCGATTGGCCCGCTTGGCAGAATGTTATGAAGATGCTGACGAAAAGAAACCAACAACAACAACAACAACAACAACAACAACAACAACAACAACAACAACAATGATAAACACATGGTTCGATTAAGGACCCGCAAGAGCCCGAACGCCATTTTTGCTGGGGGGAAATCCTTGTTGGGAATCTTGTCGGCAGAGGATAAGGGGGGACGATATTGGCCTGCCTGGGATGGTACGCATTCACATTTAGGATCGACGATGGGGCAGACTCATGTGTATACTGCAATACGAATATGGGGGGCGTTAACTCGGGGGGAGGAAATCCATATATGTTTTTTGTAAGGTGTATATATGTATGTGTGAACAACGGACAGGGGGACCTGTGTGGCCCAGACGACGGGCGGCGACGAGGCGGGGACGCGGCGGCGACGGCGACTACATAGCCGCCAGAGCAGCACACCATCCCAAACGACGGGCGGCGACGAGGCAAGGGCGGGGCGGCGACGGCGACTTCTTAGCAGCCAGAGCGGCACAACACCCCAGACGACGGGCGGCGACGAGGCGGCGGCCGGGAGGCGGTGGCGGCTGCATAGCCGCTGGAAGGGCACGCCAGCCCAAGTCCGAAGAACATATGCAAGAAACCCTAAGTGGGAGCACCGTCGTGGGAAAAAGGGATGAAGGAGGGAGAAGACGAACAAGGAGGAGGAGCGCACAGGGGGAAAGAGATCGACCACGAGCGAAGAGGGGCAGGAGGTGGCCAAAAGAGTGGGAAAGAGGGTGAGAAAGGGGAAAAAGACGGTGGACGAGTCATTTGACCTGACCACTCCCATCATCCTCCTGCTCATCATGCTGAACCTCATCCTCCTCTTCATCACCAGCATCATCACGACTGCTCATCACCACCACCATCATCACCACAACCAACACCATAATCATCGTCATCATCACCATCATCATCATCATCATCATCATCATCATCATCATCATCATCAGCATCGTCATCGTCATCATCATCATCATCATCATCATCATCATCATCATCATCGCCGTCGTCATCATCATCGTAAGCGTCATAGTCATCGCCATCATCGTCGTCATCAGCAACACCAGCAGCCTCATCAGCAGCAACATAAGTATCATCAGCATCGTCATCATCAACATCATCAGCTGCAGCAGCTGCATCATCTTCTTCATAATTAGCATCAGTATCATCATCATCACCGTCATCATCATCATCAACAGCATCCTCCTCATCATCATCATCATCATCATCATCGTCATCATCATCATCATCATCATCATCATCATCATCATCATCATCGTCATCATCATCATCATCATCATCATCATCATCATCATCATCATCATCATCATCATCATCATCATCATCATTATCAGTATCATCATCGTCAGCAGCAGCAACGGCAGCATCATGCTCAGCATCTGCATCAACATCGTCATCATCATCATCATCATCATCATCATCACCAGCACTAACGAAACCACCACCAACACCACCATTATCACCACCATCACAATAATCAGCACCATCATCATCTCCATCATCATCATGAATACCATCATCATTACGATCATCATCATCATCATCATCATCATCATCATCATCATCGTCATCATCATCATCATCATCATATTCATCACCACCGTCGTCATAATCATTGGCAGCAACAGCATCATCAGCATCCCCATCATCAGCATCAGCATCACCATTCTCATCACATCAATCAATAGATGATCACCAGCAGCATCATCATCAACGACATCACCACCAGCATCATCACCAACATCATCAACCTCATCACCATCACGGTCACCATTACCACCACCAGCACTAACACCACCACTAGCATCATCATCAACATCATCATCGTGCTTAGCACCTGCATCAAGATTATCGTCAGCATCTGCATAAACCATCGTTCACCATTCTCAATCATCAATCATCAGCATCATCACCACCACTCATCACTCATAGAAGGTACCGATACTGATACCCTTGGACGTCTGCTGGAGAGCGTTCTGACCAGGATCTTGAGGGGCGAAGCCAGCGGTGGCGACGAAGGCCTCGCAGGAGGCCGAAAACACACACAAAAAAAGAAGGAAAGCGAGGGAAAGGTAGCGGGATGGGTACCTGATCCTCCTGTGAACCATGCTCCTCCTTCCCTTCCGTCTCCTCATCATGGGCGCCTCGGCCCGCAACCGTGGGCGCCCTCGGGCGCGCCCGCGAGCTCCAGCAGCACCTCCCCGCCCCCCCCCCCCCCTTCGGGCGCCCACGCCTCTCTCGCCCCCCGCCGCTGCTTCTCCCGACCTCACCTCCCCCAAGGTTCACGAACGGCGAACGTTTTCTGGATTCTGGGGAGATCTGGCGGCTCTGGAGGACGTCTCGGGCGCCGCGGCCTTCTCAGAGCGTTCAGGAACGGTCTGAGAGCGTTCGGGAATGCTCTGGAACGGACGCATCCTCGTCCCAGCCCCGTCCGGGCCAAGCCCGATACGGAACGGATCGGGATTAAGCCAAACAGAGAGGGACGGGGCCAAACCAGGCAAATTTCGACCACGGCGAACGTATCCATATCCGCACATCCGCGCCCTCGCGGTGTGGATTCTGGGGCGCGGTCCCGCTGACGCGCTGGCGCACGGCTGCGTTCCGCGCGGGGCATCCGCGGAAAAACGCCCCGTATCTCCGCGGGGTCGCGGCCCGGGGCCCCGCACGCGAGTCCACGCATGCGGTTTACATTTTCTTTCGCCCAGTTAACCCCCAGGGCCTCTTGCCCTTCCCCCGCCGAAAAAGGCAATGTGTTCCTCCGTCTGCTCTGCATTGTTTGTGGCAGAGGGCACAAAGCGGGCGGCGCGAGCGGGCTGGCGGCCTTCTAAAAGAAGGCAAGGGGGAGTTTCTGGAAAGGCGGGGGGGCGGCGTCGCACTAGTCGCGAAAACCGGTCTCGATGAAAATTACTCCGACGGTAGGACCCCACATGAGAATATGCTATGATTGCCCTTCGCTCTGTCCTCCCCGCCCTGGCGGGCACCCTCCTCTCGCCCTCTGCTCCGCCATCTCTTCCTCCTCCAGCTATTTATCATCCTCCTTGTCCTCCTCCTCCTCCTCCTCCTCCTCCTCCTCCTCCTTGTCCTCCTCCTCCTCCTCCTCCTCCTCCTCCTCCTCCGCCTTTCCCCCATCGTCGCCCCCTACCCTTCCCTTCCCTCCTCCTCCTCCTGCTCCTCCTGCCTCTTCTCCACGCGCACCTCCCCTCCCCCTTGGTCGGGGCAAGCAAATCGATGTCCCTCGGCGCCGTCGCCGCCTCGGCCAGCGCGCGCGCGCGCGTTCGCCGACGGCTGGGCCGCGAAGCCATTGAGACAACCCCGTGGGCCATATCTTTGGGGCAACCCCGCGGGCGGGCCTGCGAAAGCCGCGCAGCCCCCTGCTTGGGCTGCTCGTCCGACTCCGAAGGTGGTGTCGGAATGCCCGTGGTTGTGGATGACCCCGTCGGCGGCTTGCCTGTAGCCTCCTGGGTCATGGGTCATCGCTGCCTGGCCCTGCTCGGTCTTCCTCTTCTTGCCCATGCGCTCCTCGGCATCCTGCTTGACCGAGTCGAGCCTGCCCATGGATGCCTGCAGTTCGGAGTCCTTCGCGGCAAATGACTCCTGCATCGTCTGCAATTCCTTCTTGAGACTGCGGAGGGTGACCTTGTCGGACCCCTCGCACTCCCAATCCTCGAGCTCCTCGGAAACCTTTGGATGCATGTGGACGCTGAATTTGCACGCCCTTGCCCTGCTGGTCGGCTGCCGCTTCGACGCCTCCCACTTGGGCAAGCGCGCGAGTAGCGCTCTTCTTGTCCGCCCCAGCCCTGGCGAGGGCCAAGGCGGCATCCTGCTCCTTGGCCTCGGCCGCCCGGAGCTGGCGCCGCAGCCGAAGCACCTGGCTCACCAGCTGCTCGTGCCTGTGGCTCGCCTGCTTCCAAGCCCCGTCGGCGCGCTTCACCGCGTCCACCTCCGAGACGTCGTGCGCCGCCGCCTGGCACAGGGCATGCCTCGGCCGCCGGGCCTCGAAGACGGCGCGACGCTCGGGATCGACACCGACCCGGACGCTCCCGCCAACAAGCTGCCGTGGTTCTTGGCAGCCTGGTCCTTCTGGCCCCGACGACGGCCCAGGCTGCGGTTGCGCTTGCCCTGGCCGACGGAGCCCTGTTCGCTCATGCCGCCGCCTATGCGCTCAGCTTCCTCGTCGAAAGAGACTCACCGATCCTGAGATGTGTCGCGCTGACGATGAGGCTCGAAAAGCTTCACCTGCCTACCGCACGACAATCATTTCTTGTTGTTGGCCATCAGCTTGGAATTGTACTCACAAGTTTTGCAATAAAATGCACCTGCCCCATGGGTGCTTAGAAGCACCGCCCATTTGAATGAAAGAAAGATTACCCTGTCTTCGTTGACGCCTGCTGCTGTAGGCCCGGCAGCAAGCGAAATCATTCAAGCACTGCGTGGAAATTCAAGAGTCTGGACCCCGCCAAAATGGTTCGGGCCCAAGTGGCTTGAGGGAGGACGATGAGGAGGAGGAGGAGGAGGAGGAGGAGGAGGAGGAGGAGGAGGAGGAGAAGGAGGAGGAGAAGGAGGATGAGGGGGAGAAGGAGGGGCAGGAGGAGGAGGAGGAGGAGCAGCAGGAGGAGCAGGAGGATGAGGAGGAGGGGGAGGGGAGGGGAGGGGGAGTGGGAGGCCCCTCCTCGCCCCACTCGAGGGGAAGGGGCGGAGGGCTCGAAGTGTCAGCCTGTGCTCCCCCTCCTGGGGATCTCTCGGGCCCCTTTTGGGGCCCTCTTCGGAGCCCCCCCCCCGAGCGAGGGAGGGCCGCCGCTGTCTGGCCCGGCCGGGTCGCCCCCCCGCAGACTTGGGTGGGGCGCGTCCTCCTACAGGCGGAATTTGGGACGTCGAACCATGCTCAAAAATAGCCAACGAGTCCAAACATCGTCCCCAGGCTGTTTTTTTCTACGCTTTTTCAATAAATTCCTCCTATGAAGGGGCAAGCCCGACTTGAAACCGCAACCCCGACCTGGCAGGCGTCGCCCGCCGCGAGGCTGGCGGCCACGCCGCTGCGGCGCCGCTGCGGCGCGACCGCAGCGTTTCTCGGATGAGACGGGCGGGGGAGGTCGGGGCAAGCCAGGTGCGCTCGCGCCACATTGAGGTCGGCCGTGTCCTCCTACAGGCGGAATATCCGCCAAAATACGCCACATCTGGCATCCAACCCCTCCCTCCCATCGCTTCCCATCGCGCCGATGTCTGCTCTGTGCGCAAGCGGGTGCCGTAACGAGCGGGCCTGGAGCACCCGAAGGGACCCACCCCACCGAGCTGCGCGCGAGTGCCCGAGGGAGCCGTGTGCGGCGGAGCCGACGGCGGAGATGAGCATGCAGGGATGAGGGCAGGAGGCAGAGGCGAGACCGCGAGGAGGGAAGAGGACGAGGAGGAAGTGCAGCAGGGCGCCGGGGCGAGAGGGGGGGTGCTCGACACCGCCTGCATGCCCCCCCCCCTCTCCGGCGCGCCTCGGCGGCTGCGCCAGCCCTGGGCGGCGCCTGCGGCAGCGGCGAGGCCGCCAGGCGCCGTGTCGGCGAGGGCGGCGCCGCCGCCGGCGCAGCGGCCCGCTGGGGCGCGGGCGCGCGCGCGCGGTGGGGGCCAGTGCGCCGACCGAAGGTGTCCACGCGCACTGCCGCGAGGCCGTTTCCGGGAGACTCGGGGAGCGGTGGCTGTGGAGGTCGGTCCGCCCACGCGTGCCGGCAGGCGTCCACAGCCACCGCGGCTCGCGATCCCGGGGCACGGCGCTGCGGCAGTGGATGTGGTGATGGGGGGGGCTTGCATGGACTCATGGGGAGGGGACTTGGGGCGGGAGGGTGTATTGCAGCATCGTTGATGCATCTTGGGTCTACTGTGGCCCTCCTATGTTCCTCC